TTTGGAGGTGGGTACCCCTAGCCAGCCCTTTCCACCTGCCTGGCGATTGTCTCTTTTCTGTATGGTTATATGAGAAGCAGTCCCGTTTGCCTGGCACAACAAAATCCTTACCTTGCTTCAAGTTACAAGAGGAAGCTGTATGCTGAAGTTGGTGCTTGTAGCTCTTACCTTTTAGGAAGAGATCTTGAACAAATGGACAGACTCTCAAATGTACACGAGAAGATAGTTTGAGGATTTAGCGATTGTTTAATTACCAAATCTGAGGTTCTGTTGGTCCCCAACTGATCCCAGGCTCCACATAGAGCTGGCCCCAGGCTTTATTTGTGGATGCTCTGAATTAGTCTGGCTGCCGATTGAATAATGGGAACAGAAGTACCCCATGTTGGCATAGGAGTATTAAGGGCATTTAGACCATAAACAGGCATGTGAAGGACTAATTGACTATCCAATAAGCAAATGCCTCTATCAGAAAGAGGCGGTAAAGGGGGGAAGGGTCAAAGGGGGGGTTTCAAAGTGGCAGCACCGCATGCAGCCTGTGGCCAGCTGGGGTGTCCCGTGGCCAGCTGGGGCATCCCCAGGCTGCACGTGCCGTTTCAAAGCAGCAGCTCTATGTGGAGCCTGGGATCAGTTGGGGACTCCCCCTGCTGACCCTGGGCTCCTTGTGGCCCTGCTGTTTTGAAAGGCACACTTCAAAGGCAGAGGCGCCCTATCGACTAATCAAATAGTCGATGTCTAGATGGCTGCAGGGGCTCAGTGGTTTGATAAGGTCTGAGTCTGAATTAGAACAGACCTAATAGCTCATCTAGTCCATATACTTGCCAAGGGCGTGTTGTTTCCTACGGGCAAGGCCCTTTCTTTTCAATAGTTTCAGAGGGGGGAGCCGTGTTAGTCTGTAACAGGAAAAACTTCAAAAACAACAAATAGTCTAGCAGCGCCTTAGAGACTAACGAAACATGTAGATGGTATCATTTTTTCAGTATTTTGTTTAGAAATTCCTGGGTATTTATCAATGTTTATTACAATAACTAAAAAAAAAAAAAAAGTGAAAAATGAGTGCACAAAACTCACATAAGTCTGAGTAAATAGCATGGATAATATTGGGACATAGGAGGATTCCCCCCCCCAAATAAGAAATCCGAAAGAAGAAAACGCTGTGGTTTATTTAATGAACTTTATATACAGTGCATGTGTGTCTTCCACACCCTATAACAGATGGCCTTGCACTGACACTTAGATTAGCTTGTTAACATGAAGACATCTATCTAATGTAAAATATTTGAGTTTCTTAACATAATCAGAACCTTGGTGTACTTAAGTGGTACAAAATTTGGATAAAAAAATCAATACATATTGAACAGTTTTTGTATAATCTGGGAATTTTTCACTGAAAACTGAAATCGAAGGACCTTACTTATGGTACATTTTTTAGAACTTTATCTCTTCTGGCTTTACATGTGTGAAACAGTAGGCCCTTCTCCACTTCCCTTGGGAGGCTGATAATCCTGCCTAAATTTTCCCTTTTATTTTTGTTCATTATTGCTAGTTCTGGTCTCTTAGATAACACTAAGTAATTCTGTCTCCTTGATGTTTGTGCCCTTCAAATTTGTGTAGACTATCCGTCATTTAAAAAGGTTGGAGCCACTTGACTAGAAAACCAATCTTCCACAAGCCAGACCAATTTCCAGAGGTCCTTAGTATGTTTCTTTGGAGACTAAGTTATGGTCTGGACCATCTGTGAAACAGAGCTCTGTCTTTTGATATTTTGGGTGGCAGCTGCCATGCTAGATTAGAGAATTATATAGTGCAATTACATCAACAGATTTTCTTCAGCTGTGGCACAGTGAGAATTAGACACACGTTTAATGGCAGGTTAAAAAGACTAAATTAACTGTGTGCATAGTTTACATTGAAATTGCTAATTTTATCCACGTAATATGTTTTGAATAACTTGAATTCTACATAACAAAGTCAAACATGCAGCTTGAGGACTTTTGACAGTTTCAGCTATAACCATCTGTAAAGGTGCTCTCTCCTCTGTATCTGCAGATATCTGCAGGACCCCAAATAAACATGTTGTTGAAAGAGATTACATTTTGTGTGTGAATTTGGAGGCATATTTGGCAGAAATGCACATAAAGAAACATCTGAATTATTTGCTGTGAATTTGTAGATAATGGATTGCCCTGTTCTCTATTCCTACTCTAACCAGGAACACAGAGCCTTCTCTAAATCAGGCAACTAATATTTGCTTTTTCAGAGGAAAGTGGATTTCTCTCACCTGTTCCATAAAGTGCCTAGCTGATTGTACATATAGGAATAAAGAGAGAAATTTCTTCCTGACCCAAGATTGAGGTTGGTTTGTGGCTGGAAGCATGATGTTTAATTATCTTTATTTAGACCCCAAAGAAGTATAGCAGCAAAACTCCTGCAAGCTTCAGGTTTTGGGCCTTAAATAGCAAAAATCTAAATTCCCAACTTTTCATTTTTTCTGGACTTTTTGCTGCCTGTGAATATAGATCAGAAAGATGAGTACTTGGCTTGTTTTATTGGCAGCGAAGTCAAGGACAAGAAAAGCTGGCTGAAGCCACTACTTACTTGATTTGTTACCGAAATACAATGAATTCATGTTAGACTTACTTCAGAGCGTCTTGCTACATCACCCTTGAGAAGTTTGCTTTTTGTATTATTTACTTCTTTCTTTCAAATCCTAAATAACAAACATGAAATGTTTATTATTAAGTAAATGAATAAATACAATTCTTAGGGCACCGAGTTGCTTTTTCCCTTAAGAAATGTCTTGGATTGAATTCTTACCAACATGAAACAAATTGGGTACTCAGCTAAAATGGGAACAAATTACTGGTGTCCTGTTTACACACTTTGAAAAAAGTGGTAGACAGTCTTAAAAGTGGGAAAAAATTATATATATATATAATTAAGTAAATGAATAAATACAATTCTTAGGGCACCGAGTTGCTTTTTCCCTTAAGAAATGTCTTGGATTGAATTCTTACCAACATGAAACAAATTGGGTACTCAGCTAAAATGGGAACAAATTACTGGTGTCCTGTTTACACACTTTGAAAAAAGTGGTAGACAGTCTTAAAAGTGGGAAAAAATTATATATATATATATA